CATTAAAACATCGATCGAAAGCCCATGGTCTAGGAGGAAATGGGCTTTTTCGTATTGGAGCCCATTTTCCATTTTGTTGCTTGAGCCCTACAAAATAACGTTTTCAAGGGATAAAACAACAAATAATGATTATTTATTAATTTAAAAAACTATTGAAATATTATTAACAATAATATAATTATTTAAAATAGTACTAAATCAAATGCTATGCATTTACAACACTATCGTTTGAATGAAATTAACATCTTATTAACATTAAATGACATCAAGGGCAGACTTGATAATAACAGTAATAATATCTGATCAATTTGTGTTTCTCAAATGCCATAAATATTATATATTATAGGAAATAATACTACAAATTTAATATGACTAAGTTGATTCAATTTGAGTTGTAGAATTAAAAAAATATAAAAAAACTATTTGAACACTCTAACCTAAATGACATTATGTACTAAACACAAAATAAACTCCTTAACATGACCAGTACTTCTAATATTTGGCTCAATAGTCTTGATCAAATAAAATGTGAAAAAAAAATATATTTAATATAATTATAAGAAGAATTTTATTTTATTAATTTTAGAAATTTGGTTGTATAGTTGATCACCCACAGCACAAGAGGTAAACTATCAATAAAAATGATTCTTAATTAGTCTCATGCTAACACTCCACATAATTAGGTCAATAATAGTAATATGAACTTTCCCACAAAGGTGAGCAATTATAAACTTACTTTTGAGCAACAAATAAAATTTCTCATTCTCTTACTCTTTCTAGGGTTACCTTTCCAAGATATATAAGAGAAAGAAACAAGATATGTATAATTGAATATCAAAATGACTTAATTAAGCCATCACTCTAATTGAATATTGTTGAATCCTAATTTAGTCGTGAATCTCACCTGAGAAAAAAAGGGGTGGGTGCGATATATATAAAAAGGAATAAACAATAATCAGTCGTACCAATCGTATCTTATTAATATAATGATTCCTCTACTTACATAAATTATGGTATAATATGATGATGTTAAAATTTTATAAAGAGGAATAAACAATAATCAGTCGTATCAATCGTATCTTATTTATATAATGATTCCTCTAATATAATGATTCCTCTACTTACATAAATTATGGTATAATATGATGATGTTAAAATTTTGTCTCTGCTTTAAAAGGGTCTGTATTGTGATATTTTGGTTATTTTAGATGGGTGTATCAGTAGGCTCAGACTGACAATCTTAATTGGCATCGGGTCGACAAGATCAACACGATCGGTTGAGATCTTATAAGTTGACCGAGCCTAGTCCGTATGGATCAACTCAATCGTCTGAGCATGATTTGTATGGATTGGCTCAGTCGATACGACCCAACTGTCGGTTCTTAACCTCTGATGAAATGCCTCTAGGCATCTCTGGGATGATTGGAGATTATAGGGAACCAAATCTTCTCTTAGACCGACTCTCTTACGATAGTTGGCTTGAATACAATTTTCGTCTTATTTATGATTGAGTGGCTTGTTCTTATATCCTTTGGTCATGGTTTGGTCGATTTTGGCCTCGTTGGCTTGGCTCCGATATCTCCACTCGATTGGTCAAGTGGGCCTCACGATCTTCTTTCAGCAGGCCCTCCTCTGTCTCATTCTTTCATTCTGGACAGTTATTTCTTCTCAGAATTAGCGGCAACATGTTTTTTTATGTACATATTTAATTCTTTGATTCTCTTACTTTAGGAAAGCGGAGCTATGATAAGAATAGGAGAATCTAATGCAAAAGCATATTTATTTATTATTTAATCAATAAATTAATAATTGAACTTTCTTGATTTTAAGACCTTTGATTTTTATAAATAAGGTGTGATGAGACTCCTCCCAATCCTATTTTCTCAAAGACACCTCTCGTTGGAGTTGGTCGGCTTTTCAGTGTTGTGATGGAGAATCAATAAAACCCCTTGGGTGACATCCCCAACAAAGATTCGCTCCATGTTCCCTTCAAAAAATTGAAAGGCTAGGATCATCTGAGAGGTGAAAGGAATAAAAAAACCATTGTTAAAAGAAATCAATTGCAATTTCACTATAGAACTAGGTGGGATTGTCTGATTTTTTTTTCCTTTGCAATAAGCAGAGAATTGTTCAGCCGACCAGGTTAACCGCCAATTTAAATGCCCATCCATCTACTGTGCCGCAAGATTTGCCAATCAAACGAACTATATAAGAAGCTGATGGTACTCTATTGTTGCACGATGAGAGTGCTTAATCGATTATAACTTTTGAGTTTGATTGACTCCTATGTATGGGCCCTCTGGAGTGTCTTGTGCTTATTTGTTGGATTTTGATTTTTTTGAAGTTCTTTTTCATTATGTCGTTTCTTAGTATAGATGACTTAGCTTTAAGTGTCAAGGGCGAGGATCATGCTCTCAATGGTATCGACAAGAATTCAGCTGAGGTGCCAACGATAATTAAATAAGAGTCAAGTGAGGGTGGATGGCTCTCAAGTGAGGATGGCATGGTTAATCATCCTGTGGCCCGTGAGGAAGTATTTAATGTGCGTTGGACATCTTTTGGATTGTTGGCTCACTGCTTAGATGAGATCGAGAACTTTATTTCTCGATCAATAGGGATCCAATGAGGCAATGAGATACACAAGCTGTTGGCTCATGTGGAGAAGGTGCATAGGATGGAAAAGGTGGTGGCCACTCTTCGTCAGGAACTAACAGAGTTAAGGAGAGATCCTTGATTTTTTTAGCAATAGGTGAGACATATGGATTGTATTAGTTTAGGTTTTTTGTGTGTGCATGTGAAGTTGGG